TAGGTAGGCTCTATAATTTTAAACAGTTTGACTTAGAGAAAAATAACTGTTATAAGGGAAGGTTTGAGGAAGGAGTCACTGAAAAACTGAACATCAACCACAGTTCAATCAGGAAAACAGACACTATATTATGTTGCCTACAGAACTTAATAATTGGGTATTGTTGCACAGAGGGTAAAAGGGTGCTCCACACCAAAAAGGGGGACACGGAGCTGATTCAGATATGTAGTGTAGGAAACTGTCACCGCCTTAAGGCTGGGGAAGCAAAGGGAAAATTCTGGATTCTTAGAACTAAGAAGCTCAAAGGACAGGTCCTATTGTTTAGGGCATGGACCTTTGAGAACTGGGCATAGCCTCACTTTTGTGGATAAATCTGAGGTGTTGTGGTGATTTCTTACAGCATAAAGATGGGAGGCTGGAGCCCACTGCTGAAGACAGGCTGATGGGCCATTACTACTGAGGTGATGCTGATAGGAGCAGGAAGGAAACAGAAGGGAACACATGTCTTCTCCCCCGCTCCCACCTACCGCCCTCTGTCCAGTGACTTCTACTGACAGAACCTATCAAGGAGCCAGCTGGCAAAGGAGACGGATGTGTGCAGAGGCCAAGCCCCAGTGCTAGGTGTGAATACGGAACGGAGATATAGCTTAGTTAGTAGCACTGTTGTTGTTTAGTCGCTAAATTGTGTCTGACTCTATAGCTACCCCATGGACTACAGGCTCCTCTGTCCATGGGATTTCCCAGGCGAGAATACTGGAAGGGGTTGCCATTTCCTTCTCCAGGGGATCTTCCTGACCCAGGGATTAAACCCATGTCTCCAGCATTGGCAGGAGAATTCTTTACCACTGAGCCAGCAGGGAAGCCCTAAGTAGCACTAAGAGCAATTAAATCCAGAGTGTCAAGCCATGGTCAGTTAAAGTAACCATCTTGCAGCTTGAAAAACTCAACATGGTCATATACTCAAGACCTTAAGAAATTAATATTCTTCTGTTGAGTCTGTCTGCCATTAGACATACACTTGAGTATGCTTGTCACTATAGATATCATTCAATCATCCAATCTGAGAGCTATATGGCAGATATTTTTCAAGGTGGTTGAGTTTCAACAATGAAAAAATAAATAGGTTTCTGCCCACCCTTGTGGAACTGTCATTCTAGTAAATAGAAAAAAGATAACATATAAAAATACAATGTATCTGATGGTGAGTGCAATGGAGATAATAAAGCAAGTTGTGTGTGTGTGTGTGTGTGGTGGGGGAATAGGGATTGGAGGTGGGGGCACCTCTTTCATATGGGGTGGTCATAGAAGATCTTAATGACAGAGTGTAATTAGAGTAAAAACCCAAAAGAAATCAGAGGAAGAAAGCAGTATAAATATATGGTTGAAGATCTTTTCAGTATGAAATGGCTGTATCTGATAAAAATGGGTGGACTTCTTTTATGGATTTGCAGTTTAACTATTTGCATAGTTCTGCTATAGACGACTGTGAATCTAGCTGGGTAACATTAACTTACTGTCAAATATAGTACCGATTCAAACATTCCACAAAGCATTGCTCATCTCTTCCACTGAGAGGAATGCTATACTTCTTCATGCAGCAGGTTATAAAAAAATTGCTGATGGTAAAAGAACTAGCTGAGGTATGTACATAATAGCCTACCTGTACTAAAAAAATATTTCCTCTTTCAGAGTCAGGTATGAAATTCTAGCCTCAAACTTTTTCTTTGGATCATCTGAGTAAATGTAAAATGTCCAAACTGTACATAGATGTCTTTGATGTCTTTGTCAAACTTCATTTTTTAATTAAGAGTTAATGAACTTGATAACTGGCCAACAGTCTTTAAGGCTTAAAGTGGGATGGATACCATCAGTGCTCTTAATCAAAAACAATGAAATCACTGTTGGCATTAGAATCATGTTGCTTTTTGTTCAGATAATTTTTTTTCTTGGAAAATACATGAATACTTTGGATTCAGTGGTACCAGAGATGCCAATACTAACTATGATTAAATATTCCTTCAACAAGTTTGCCACTCAAACAATACAACTGAACTTACCTGTAAAGTTAGACATCTGAAAATGATATAACCCAGTTATATTCTTATGTTAAAGGCTTTAAGAGAAATAACTGTAATTCTAGTACTTGAAAAGAGTGAGTTGTACCATGTAACATAAAATCTTTTTCTGTAGATGGTAATAATCTCCTACAGGAAAACTTAAGGTGGGTATGTCTTCATTTGAGAGGAATGTATTTGAGACTGGACACGAAGAAAGTAGAAGTTTGAATTAGTCAACTTGTTTTCAACTTTTTAAAAGGAATCTTTGGCGGTCAGTGGTGTCTACCAGAAGGCAAGAACTTGACTCTGGTGGTGAGACCACCACACCTGGCTTGTAGAGTTTGCAAACTTCGAGCCTAGGTTCCTCTGGCTATCAAGGAGGTATAACAGTAATTGTAACCTTTCTTGCTTTGACATCTCTGGCTGAAGCTGACGTATTAAAACAAATTATTATTAAAACATAATGCATGTATGCACGTAAAACACCAGCATGGTGCTCTTTTCAATTTTATATTACATTTATAAAATACTGGTCCTTCCATGCTCCCTTCACTTTAGGTCAGAGGAGAATATAATCATAGCATACTAATCCAGTTCTCAAAATACGGAGGAAATATATTCTTTAAAGCTCCGTATCATCCCTTTGAGAAGCACTAAACCGCCTAATCCCTCCTGGTCTCTGTAGCAATTGCATGATGGCCCCCCATATCAAGTCTTTGGCACCTTTTCAAATCTTGGCTAAATTACTTTTTATCTGGAGATAGTTCCAGGGAAAGACTAGGGGAATGAATTGGCTAGCAGTATTAAAATTCTGGCTGTTTAACATTTAACTGAGTATCAACAACGTGTTAAAGTGCTATCTAAACATAATTAGCTAGTCATGGCGCAGTAGGCTCTGTCTAAATTTAACTGTGAAATTAGGTTTAGGGAATGTGAAAATAGGGGGGAATTTTTTCTCAAGGGAAACGGTGGTGTCAGCACAGCTGAGGAATGTCACAATAGCTACATTTAGTCAGTTATGATCATCATCAGGGCATCTCCTGGAGCGACGCAGGACAGGGTTTATTCTGAAGTCCATTCAGACTAGGTGATGGAAAGGAGCGGTTGCAGGAGGCAGACAGGAATGGAGAGGGAGCGAGAAAAGGGGTGGAGGAAAAGAGGTCTTTAAACCAAGCGCTGGAAGACTGGATGGGCGGCGGAAGTTAAGAAAGACAAAAAGAGCGGTGGGCAGGGGTGGAACTGCGTGTAGTCTTGGAGGTGAGTAAAACGTAAGTTAGTGGGTGGAGGTCGGGGAGCCCTAGTGACTGAACGCGGAGGACAGCGTGATCTTGGTGAGAGAGAATCATTCGTTTAGCTGCGACAGGCGGCCAAATCCTTTTTTGACTTTATTCTTATTGGAGCACATATGTGGCTATCCGGTGGCGATGGCAGGACCAACATAAAATTAATGGTGTCAGGACTGAGGATGCGTGTCCTCCGCCCCCAGCCCCCCTCGGGATAGTGGAAGCTGTCCACCACCCCCGCAGAACCGCCGGTGGCCGTGGCTCCAAGGTTAAGCCGCCCGGGCAGTGCGTGGCGGGCAAATGAAGAGGGCAGCGTGCGCAGCCACCGGGGTGAAGGAGGGTCGCGGAGGATCACGGACGCTCCTTTTACGGGCAAATATTTAATATTTCTCGAGGTCACTGTCCCGCGATCAGTTCACAGGAAAACAGGCAACGAAAATAAAATCACATGTGCGAACATGCAAATGAAACAAAACCAAAGAAAAACACCACCGCACTACAGGCGCTCCGATCTGGGAAATCCACGGCCTCCTGTTGCCAGCCGCCCGGCGAGGGCAGCGGACAGCCGGGCGGCCAGAGAACCGAGAGCGACAAAAGACCTTGTGCGGCTCCTCTCCTTGCCCGGCTCCGTTGACCCTTTCACCAAACTGCCCTCCATGAGAAAGGGGCGAGAAAAACGCCTGTGCAAACGCGCCTCGGCGAGCTAAGGGGGAAGCGGGGCTGGAAAGAAAGGAGGGATTCGGAGAGCTCAGCTGTCCCGGGAAGCAGGAGGGAGAAAGTCTCTCCTTCCAGGCCCCGGCGAAGAGGGCGAGGACTAGTCCCGCAGAATACGTCCAGCTTCCCAGAAAGGAACCTTTAGCCGGGGCAACGGAAGGGCAGCCCCATCGCGCCTTCCTCTCCCCACCCCCTCTCTCCTCCGGGTCCCCGCCAGAGGGAGAAAGCCGCCCGGGCTAGCTGAGCTGCGAGCACGACCGTCCCACCGCCCTCCGCCTCTATCCGAGCCGGGGCCGCGGAGGACCCGCGAAGGGCGGAGTGGGCGAGACCATTGGGAAGGCTGGGGAGGGGGGGCAAGGCAGGAACGCGGGGGGCGGGGCCTGCTAACCTCGTCCAGATTTTCTGTCCTCCTTAAAGCCCTGCTTTGGGAGAAACCCCGTTATCTTAGAGGAGAAAAGAGATGTGGGGGTTTTTTTTTGAAAGGGGCGGGGCGAGGCCGGAGGGCGGGGTGGGAGGAGTCGCGGCTCGCACTCGGGGAGCAGACGCGAGCGCGAGTCGCGCGGGTTGGGCGGGCGCGTCCCTGCTCCTGCTCCGAGGGTCCGGCTTCCTCTCCCCCTCCCGCGCGGGGCGGGGTGGTGCGTTCCGAGTTCCCAGGAGTTCGGAGTGGGCGGGTGCCGGGCTGGGGGGGAGGGGAGTGGCGGCGGCGGCGGCGGCGGGCGGCTCCCGCCTCAGCCTCGGCAGTGGCGTCGGCGACGGCGGAGTCGAAGCAGCCGCGAGCGCTCGGCGGAGTGTCAGCCGGCGGCGACGGCTCAAGAGCTGGGAGTTAGGGACGCGCGCTCCAGACCTTCCGCCGAGGCCACTGCCGCCGCCGCTGCCCAGAGCCGGAGGCGCCGGGGCCCGGGGAGCCGGGCGGCGGGAGAGCCAGCGGGCCGGGGGGAGGGGGGGGATGGCGCGGACCCCGGGGCCGGCTCCACTGTGCCCCGGAGGCGGCAAAGCACAACTTTCCTCCGCTTCTCCCCCCGGGGCCGGGCTCCTGCTGCCGCCCCCGACGCCGCCGCCGCCGCCGCCGCTGCTGCTCTTTCCGCTGCTGCTCTTTTCCTGGCTCTGTGGTAGGTGAACCTCGGCTGCCGGCGCGGGCTGAGGGGAGGCGCGGCCGAGGGTCCCTGCGCCGCGGCCGGGCCGGCGCGGGCCGTTCTCTCGTGCGGAAGGCAGTTGTGTTCGGCGGTTGGCTGCGCGAGCGGGTGCCGTGGACTTTGGCTGGAAACTTTTCGCCGCGCCCGGGGCGAGGCCGGGGAAGGGCCGGGGCCGGCGGGTGAGGCGCCGACTGCCCGCTCCCCTCCCCCGCGGCCGCGCGGCTCGCCACGCTGCCGGTCGGGGTCTGGCCTCGGCGTTCTCCGTACGGACGCCGAGTGCTCGGCGCGACAGGGGTCCCTTGCTGTCTGCTCTCGGGACCGTTACTTGCTCGCTCCTACGCGGAGGGAGCCGAGAGCACGGACTTCTGTGCTGGCGCTAAGGTGATGGGATGCTGGTTTGCCGCCTCATTTTTTCCCGGGTGAAACTTGAGCTGTGAGCCTAGATACCTTTAGGAACGCAAGAATCGACGACGGAATGAAGCCTTTGGGTTCCCACCCCGCTTCTGCTTCCACCCGGGAGAGGGCACCGTGTCAGCCCACCCTGCAGCTGCCCCTACAGTTTTCTTGGATCCTACGGCCCCTTTCTGCCCTGGCAGCCTCTGGATCGCGTTGCTTTGAGCCTGTCGCTGCCTTCCAGTTTGTGGGACGTCTGTCTCACTGTCCATGTTTATTTTAGCTGAGCCAGTTTGTCTTCAGGACTTTGATTTACGTGTAAAATACCTGACTGCGTTGGCTGTGCCCCGGCTGTTCTGGTCAAAATAAGCCCCGCGCCTCTTCCCTACCGTTCTTCCTACATGTTCTATTACGGTTGTGTCACATTTGGGAGGTGGTCTCATTGTAAGTTCACGTCCTAGGCATCAGAGACTAGAAGCCTACTTGTTAAGAGTATCGTTAAATAAAGATATCTCCGTTTCATGCGAGAGACGTAGACTTACGTGACCCTTAATGGAGGGCGGCGATTTGGGAGACTAAGGCCAGCGGTCTAGCTCTGGGGACTGGCTCTGTCTTTTGGTAATACCGGAACACAGCAGGACGTTATTCATTCGATGGCTCCCGCTTAGCAGGAAAGCGGAGAGGAAAACTTAGGCTTGCTCAAAGCGTGTTTTACCTGAGACGTTTTTTCTGGTACATAAATCTGCTCTTGGATGTCAGCGTTTAATGAAATTTTAGAAGAAACCAGGAAGTTTTACCAGTATTTACTACAAGAAGAGATGTGTGCGGTTTTCTTGGATGGTGTGATTTAGAAGAGAATCCTATACCCCTGTACCGTGTGGGTGTGTTGGGGTAGCTGGTTATGAGGAAGGCAAAGTTTTCAAGAGATTGAGTGCCCCTTATAGGCTGAGAATTTCCACTGCCAAATCACTATCACGTTTAAAGCACTGTAATGACAGTTTCTGATTTACAGAGTATAGTGTGATAAATGGCATGTTATCTAATCTACATTGTTTCTGTAGTCCCACTCCCCAGATGTTTGGTTTCAGGACACAGTTCTTAATGCTGTTACTTCTTTATATTGATGCAAGATTCTGAATTGAATTTTGTGTAATATTCTTTTGCATTAAGTATTGTGGAATACTCCTTAATGTGGGAGGAAAATGGGAGGGGGTTGTTAAAGAGTTTACTATTCTGATTCAGATCGTTAAAGACTAAGAATATTGGTACTTGCAGTAAAGGTTTATCCAGCTAAGCAAAGCCCCATAGAAGACTGAAGCAAGGTAATATGTACAGGTAATACAAGGAAAATTAAATTTGGGTAATTTTATAGTTACTGTGAAAGTAAAGTGGTGTTTACTTTTTGAGGAAACACATTGGAATTCACATGAAAGAAGAGAGGAATTAAAAAATCATCTCCTTAATAATGTGCTTGATATTTTAGAGTTCTGAAAATTCAAGTAGTATAGGCAAATGGACTGTGATTTAGAGAGATGTAAATTTAAGTTTTTAAGAGTCATCTCTGCTTGTAGTTGTAGAGACAGACACTAGCTTTGTATTACTGTGCACTGCTCATTTAAAGAGCTTCCTTTTTTTGGCTTATAGTGTTATAACACCCTAATTTGTGAACCGTTATGACAAGTTTTTTTTTTCTGTCAACCTTTATTTTAGAATTAAGTCTTTGAATAGGGCACAGTTGTCCTGATTTATGGATACTTAGTAAGTATGGAAATGGAAATTTCTTTTTGTAACCTGTGCATTGATCTAACATTCATAGTACTACTTACAAGCTTTGTCATGCACTGATGTTTGAGTTTAGTTTTATTTATTTATAAAATTTTGTTGAAGTGTAGTTGAGTTACAATGCTTTGGAAGTTGTTAGGAATGAGAAGATTTTTAGGCCTTGACTATATGATGATTTATTAATTAGAGTGCTTTACTTATTTTTACCACATACAGATTCTTTTTTTCTTTTTGCTGCTGTTTTTGATATTCTGGTTGCATGTAGCATGGCCGTAACTATGCTAAACTCTTGCAGTATCCTCTCTTAGCACAATGTCATTTTTATGTCATGCTAATTTTACTGCTATAAAAAAGCCCTCACATTCAAACTAGTAGACATGATATTCTGAAAACTATAAAAAAGTAATTAGATTTGTTCTTTTGAAGGGTGTACATTATCTGTCCTATTTGAAGAACTGAAATTCTCACTCGTCGGGGTTAGTTTGTGTGTGTATGTGTATGTGTATTAAACCTGATAAATCATAGGTATAAAGGTTAAGAGGACTAGATTTTCAACATTTTCTGACTTGATAAACCTCATTTATTTAATTCTGGAAGTCCATATTTCTTTATGATGCCAATAACCAATTCATATGTGATGAGATTTATCGTAGTTTCCCTTCCAATATTTTTCTTGAGGGACAGAGAATATTAGCAGTGATCTCGTATCGATGAGAGAGAAGATAGACTATTGACCTAAGTTCCAGCTCTTCCCATTTTCAACAAGGTTTTATCTTAAATAGATACTTAGAATTATAGAAGAAAAAATATGATATGGTGATGGACCATTTAACAGCACTTTCAGAAATCTCTTTATTCATGGCGCTTGTTAGACACTTGAGGACACTGAATAAGGCAGAGCCCTGGCTTCAAGGAGCTTACAGCAGTCTCATAGACGTAATGTAAATCGGTGATTGCAGGACTTCCCCGATGGCCCAGACGGCAAAGAATCCGCCTGCAGTGCAGAAGACCTGGCTTCCATCCCTGGGTTCAGAAGGTCCCCTGGAGAAGGGAACTGCTACCCACTCCAGGATCCTTCTCTGGAGAAATCCACGGGCAGAGGAACCTGGCAGGCTACAGCCCATGGGCTCACAAAGAGTCAGACACAACTGAGCGACTTTCATATAGGACAGCTTGGTGTTTATGATAGATTTGTGCATGAGGTACTGTCGATTACCCGGAAGAGGAATACCTAACCAACTATGTAGGGATATTAGTGTAAACTGAGGAAAAAAAGTTACCTAAAAAAAAATCAGTTGAGTCAGATTTTCTTGCTGAGATAGGTCACTGTGGTAGGTGGTATAAGTTTGCTCTCTGCACTTTATGGTTAAGATACTAAATAGGCAGTTTGAATCTGAAAAAAGATTGTCACTTACCAGCTATGTGACTCTTGGCAAGTTATTCAACCTCAGTAAATTTAAGTTTTCTCATCTTTTCAAAAAAGGGTAATATCAACTTATAGAGTTCTTGTGAGGATTAAATGAAAGAAAATAGCAGAATGCATGGAATATACATTCAAATTTTAGCATTTATTTTATTTCATATTATTATTGGGGCTTCCTTGGTGGCTCAGTGGTGAAGAATCTGCCTGCCAGCGCAGGAGATGTGAGTTCGATCCCTGGGTTGGGAAGATCCCCTAGAGAAGTAGTGAATGGCACCCCATGTCAGTAGTCTTGCCTGGGAAATCCCAGGGACAGAGGAGCCTGGTGGGCTGCAGTCCACGTGGTGGCAGAAGAGTTGGACACGACTGAGCAACTAAACAACAAAGGCAGACCAGCTGTTTGCCATTCTTAAATTTTACCCTGATGACTTCAGTAATTGGGTTTTCAACTTGATTGACTTGCTTTTTTTATACTTTCATCTTTATTTTGAATGTATAGCCCAGTCAGTGCTCTTGAAGTGTTTGTTAAATTTACCTCAGATAAGTATACAGACCAGTTTTCAGAATGTTAGGATGTAGTGAAATTAACCCAGCTGTGTAATTGTATGGAATCTGATTGGATGGTTCCATAATGATGGAGAATGTTTTAGGGCTTGGCGGTTCTGTGTGATCACTTAGAATGTTAGTGGTTATACTGAAAGTGTAGAGTTGAAACTGTGCAGTTGAAGATGGAGTCATAATTTCATTTCTACTTTAGCAGGTTACTGGTATTATCAGGTTGGAGCCTACAATATATATTGCCCATATCAATCTTCCTGCTTCTAAGGCAGATATAATTGGAAAGTGACCCAAATTTAAAAGGAAGTTCAAAAAAGAGCAAATTTTGCATTTAGCTACACTGTCCAAAATAGGAATTGGGAAAAGCTAGTCAATAATATATTTGTGAGTGTGGGTATATTTACTGTTTTAACCTTATTTATGTCACTTATGCGTATATATGTGTGTGTAAAAAGTGATTCAGCAACTCTAAGGTACATTTTGCATCTGTATAGTTAAGGAACAAAACTTATGGCTTATTGCCTTTTATTTGAAAATGATTGAAGTGAAGCTGGCTGTGATACCCTTGTTAAAAAGGAGTATTTTGGTATTCTGTTGCTTACCCCTTAAAAAATTAGTGAGTAAATAACATATTCCTATGGCATATTCTATACTCTATTAAAGTCCTCATAAAGTTGGCAATACTGAATACATGATTTGTGAAGGATATGGCATTTAATTAATAATAGCTGAAGTGAAGTGAAGTGAAAGTCTCTCAGTCATGTCATACTCTTTGCAACCCTGTGAACCATACAGTCTATGGAATTCTCCAGGCGAGACTACT